AGATGCAGCCACCCACTTCCACCCAAACCTGCAGGCAACTGAGGTGCCGTGTGTGCATCCTCCTTCTAATCTCACATACAATGGTGGCGCGTCCTCGTTTCTGGGGCAAAAAAGAGGCCAATGGGGCAGGGGCGGCACCTTCTATTGCGAGGAGATTTGTAGGTTGGTCCCGGCCGCCGTCGAGTACGTCGACAGGGTCGAAGTATAACTCCTGACGCCTCCACCATCAGCCGCACTTTCACACGGCAAGCACCGCCCCTATCACAAGGCTCGACACGCTGAGTAGTGCCATCGTGTTGCTTGTGCAATCATTTGCAGCGATGTCGCGGGCAAGCTGAATCCTCTCCGGAAGCGCGCATTGGCCGTCATCAGAAAAGAAGCCGGACGCGAGCCACTCCCTTTCCCACTCTGCTACTGGTCCTTCCCCGGGCGAGGGTTGCCATCCGGGTATGCGAAGGCGTATTTCCCTCTCGGTTTGCTGTGCTCTCTTAGCCGTGTAGTAAAATGGGCGGACAAGTGCCGCCCTAGCGTCCTTGAAGATGGAGTCGACTCGGGCGTCCGGCGTCGCGTCGTGTGCAAGGTTCGCGTTGTAGTGCCGCCGCCGCACGATGCCCGCACCTGGACCTATCAACAGGCGCCTGCGGCGCCGTGGTCAGTGTGTGTGTGTGTGTGTGTGTGTGTGTGTGTGTGTGTGTGTGTGTGTACTCTTGACACACACACACACGCCGTGGTCAGAAGCTGCTGCTCCCACCTGTTCACACTTTCACAGTGGACAGTAAAGTTTGCAAAACGATGGGCAAGGGCGGCCCGAAGAAAGTCAAGCAAAAGACGGCGGCGCCAGTCGCGGCCGCGTCCTCATCTGCGGCCGGCGGCGCCTTCCGCTCGCGTGCCGTGGGCGCCGCCTACCCCGACGGAGGCCCGCCCGTCCACGACTACTTCGACTGCTCGCGAGGCTTGTCCGTCTACCCGCAGGCGGGATATATATCGCACCTCGGGCTCTCCTCTACGCCCCTCCCGGGCTCTCCTCTACGCCCCTCCCGGGCTCTCCTCTACGCCCCTCCCGGGCTCGTCTGGACTCGGACCCGCCACCCCTCGGACCCGCCACCCGCAGGAGGGCAAGATCATCATCTTCTACTCGATGCTGCCAAACGGAGAGATGGACGACTACTCGCTCCACGGCGGCGGCGGCGTCCTCTTTGGCCACTGCGATGCGGCACTTGTTGAGCACCATTCGTTGCACTTCAGGCGGCTGCGACGTCCTCTTCAGCAACGCTACCAAGTGGAGCGCCAACTTTTGGCTCTGGAACAAGCCGTACCACTTCGTGGACCCGGCCCGCCGGCGAGCGACCAAGGAGCTGACGGAGGAGTGGATCTGACGCGGTGGAACTGATCCGCGGCGGCGTGGGGTCGATGCGGGCACGGGCCGGGAGTGCGGCGTTACGAGGCGCGGGGGCCACCGGAGCTGGCAGAGAGCTATACTGGACACACACAAAAAAAAACTGTTCAGTTTTCAAAGGCAAAACACAACGCTCTGCGGTTGGTGCACCCCTCACACACTGACACATTCCCCTCATCCCCTACCCTTGGCTGAGCACATCTACCTGCGAGCTAGCATCTCCGCATTTTCTCTTCCAGTCATCCGCCCGCGCCGCGCGCCATCACTGGGCGTCTAGTGCAGCCACTGACAGAGCTATTCCGAAGGAGTGGTCGACGCCTCGCCTAGAGTTCGGGTGGACTTGCGCACTGCTTAGCCTTGAGGGGGGAGTGTGTGTGAGGTGGTGTAATGTTGTCCCGTTTCAGGCGGCAGGTCAGGGGATTAGCCGGGAGGATTCGGCAGCTCAGCCGGGGGCTGAGCGTCTGCAGGCAGCCTTCCGCCCGCGCCGAAATTCACAGCCCTCCCGGGCCGACGGGGTGCTCCTTGGATCGGGCCCCGCTCCCCGCTTTTCCTGTACCTGGACTGTCCGGGTTAGGAGGGTGAGAGTATTGGGTGGGCGAGGGCAGTACATCTGGCGGGTGGCGATTGAGGGACAGCGTGGGTTGATTGGGGGGTCAATGGGCGCGCGGGCGGCGCTTCGTGGTCCTGGGCGAGCAGGGGAAGTGGTTAGGAGTCTGGGCCCAGAGATGAGGATTGTCGAGATGTCATGCGAGAGCGGTGGGTGGGCGAAAGTAGCGCGGCTGGAGAGTGGTGTCCGAGGGACAATGGTGAGTTGTCAGTTGGGGCGCGAGACGCGCGGGAATCATACTGTGTAGGGTGCTGATTGTGAGCTGAGTGCATGGGTGTATGGGGTTCAGAAATTTGTGGCGTCGAGGTTTGTGCATTGGTGGCTGGCGTAGCGGTCAGAGGTTACCGTGGTGCGCCGTCCGTGCAGGGTGGAATGTCATCAACGGCACCTGCTCGGGCAACAACCTCAGGCTCGGCCTCGGCGGGGCGCGGACGTGCGGGGACCTCTCCATTCGGATGAAGTACGCCAGTGCGGTCTTCACGTTTCGCGAGGCGTGGACTGTCGTCGTGCGCGGCAACCACGTATTTGACCGCGTCACCGGCCCGACCCACCGGCTCGACCTCACCTTCAAGGAGGCCGCCGGAGCCGCGGCACGAACGCTGCCGCACGGCATCATCGGCCAAACCTTCTCGTCAAGCGCGCCGCGCCAAGGGAAGCAAGACGTCTACCCCGAGTCTGGCCGCATCGCGACGTCCGCGATGGCAGAAGGCGCCATCGAGGGGACCGCGGGCATGTACGAGGTTGCCTCGCCCTTCGCCACCGCCTTTGCCTTCTCGCGCTTCGGCGGCGCCGAGCTCGTGCGGCCAGCGGGCGGGCTCTCGTCGCTCGCCGCGGGAGCGGAGGCGACCTCGACGGAGCGGGAGTAGAAGCTAGAACGAGCGGCGACGCTCACGCAGTCGGGTGTGGCGGACCCGGACGTTGGGACGTTGCGCCGCGGATTCGTCTTGCCACTCCGGCGCGCCGCAATCCCTCGCGCCGCTCCTGCCGAGGTCGGCTTGCTTATCGACGGTCCTATTCCCAGCTCGCGGGGCCGAGTTCTTATATTTATATCCTGTGTTAGTGCCAGTGCGCGCCAGTCCCGTGATTGATTGATGTGCCCCTCCCTAGTGTCCTGCGAGCACTCGGTTCTGTTCTGGCGAGGTACTTCCAGCCTGCTGTGGGAACAGCTGACGCAGTCTCGCCGAGGCTCGCCCCAGCACTCGGCCAGACAAAAACCCCGAGAGGCGTGGGAGTACCTCGCCAGGTTCCTGTCTGCTATTGCCGCAGCCACTTCACAGCTACTCCTGTGGGAAGAGACCCAGGGAGGGAGTAGCGTGAGCTCCGCGAGACCGAGGCCCCTCGAGGTTAACAGCGGGTCGGCTGGGGCTATACCAGACAGGCCGGGTTCTCTTCTATTTTTATTCGCACGCTCGCCCACCCCGCCTCCCAGCCCACCGACGTCGCCTATGGGCAAGAAGAGGGGCGAGAAGCGGCCCCACCCCGCTCCCGGCTGCTTCGGCGCCGACCTGCCGGCCGAGGGCGACGCGCCGGGCTGGGGCGCGCTGCTGCAGCCGCTCGGTGCGCTCTGGTCCGCCTCGGGCTCGCTGCCGACGGAGCGAGCGCTCGCCGCGCTGACGCCGGCGGCGGGCGAGGAGGCGGCGGCGTCGGCGGCCGCGCTCGGCGTCGGCGTGCTGCGCTGCCTGCAGGGGATGGCCGAGGTGCATGCTGCTCTCGAGGAGGCGGCGCCGTGCGGCTTGCCTGGCGGGCTGCCGGAGCGCGGCCGCGTGCGGCCCGCCGAGCTGCTGCCTTCGAGCGCACTCGGCGCCGCCGTCGGGCCGCTGCAGCTGCCGCTCTACGAGCGGGCCATGGCCTCCCAGCAGGCCGCCGCCTACGCCTTTCTCCGCGCCGTCGCAGACGGCGGCGCGGGAGGCGACGGGTGGAGCGGCGAGGCGGACGCGGCGGCGCCGGAGGCGGCGGCGGCGGGGGTGGACGACGAGTGCTTGGTCGCGCTGGCGGACTGGAGCGTCGCGGACAGCGATCCGCAGCACGCCGCGGCCGGCGGAGGCGGTGGCACCGCGGCGGTGGCGGCGGCACGGCGCGACAGTTTCCGGCAGCTGTATATGCGTCTGCTGACGGAGGGTGCGGCGGACGAGCTCGACGCTCTGCGGACGGCGGGCGACGGCGCCCTCGATGGCGCGTCGCTCTCGCTGCTGGCGCGCCGCCGCCCCGCCCTCCCCCTTCCGCACACACGCTCGCTCACAGGCGGGGCCCTCCGTTAGGTCAACGCGCTCGAGTCGGGCGCGGACACCTTCAGCGACGAGCACGCGGCTCTCGCGCTGGACTCGTTTGGCGAGGCCAGCCAGCCGCGCGGGCGCCAAAGGTCGCAGCCCAGCCCGGTGGGGCCCAGCGGAGAGGGCGGAGGAGGGGGCGGGAGTTTGCTTGCCAGGGCTGGCGCAATCGAAGCCGAGGCGGCGAGGCAGCGCGGCGGCGGCAGAGGAGCCGGCAAGGCGGGGAAGAGCCGATCCAAATGAGGGCGGGGGAGGTGCCGGCGGGGTGCGGGCGCCCAACACCATGGTTGGAGCGAGAGTTCTTGTGTGCGCGGGCGGACCCCCGGTATAGATTCAGATTTCAGTGTTCACCCCCCGCGCCCACCGCCGCGCCCCGTCTTGCCCCTGGCCCTGCCTCTACTCCTCTCGCGTGCAGCTGCGCAGCCGCTGCTGCGTTGCAGGCACGTCCCGGGACGTAGCACTCTCTCCGCTCCGGCACTCCCCGCGGGCAGCCTGGGATCCCAATTCCCATCCGCCCGAGACTGCGACACGGCAGCCCGGACGTCATGGGTTACCGTTCTTGGTCTTTGCCCTTCTTGGTCTAAACGCCCTTCCTGGGGAAGTCATGGACAATCCATACTTGCGGCTTTTTCAGCATGGCCCCGAACGGCTTGAGGAATTCTTTGTATTCCGCGTATTCGTCTTCGCCGGGCTCTGGATAGATCGTGGTGGTAAGCGTCTGAAATTCAAAGATGCCCATGATTTTCTCCATTTGTCCCGCCTCGGCGAGCTTCGTTGCGAACTCCATGTGTGCCTTCAGGCTCGTGAATGTCTCCTGAATCGTGATCGTCTTCGCCTCTGCTGACTCCTCATCGGCTGCGCAAGAGTAGGCGAGAACATCCGGTAGGCTTTCGGCGATCTTCGTGTTCTCTTCCCAGAGGACTTTGAGGTCGCCAACGGTCTTGCCGTCCTTCAGGCCGATGGTAAGCACTTGAGAGATCGCCATTTCGGCGTTCGCTGCTGTGCGGAATGCGTCCTCTACATCCGATCGGGGAAAGGGACGGCTCGGGCCGCCGCTGTCTGCTATAGCCGCAGCCACTCCCAGCTGCTCGGTGTGAACAGAGTTCGTACACCGAGCAGAGGGAGCTTTTTTGTTTAAATTCTTTGGCCCTCACGAGAGAAAGAAGGCCGCGAGGAGAGCCTTGAAGGCCGCTCGCCTCCAGGAGGGGTTGCGGCGCGGCGCCCCCGCCGCCGAGGCCCAGCAGCTGCGGATCGACGCCTTCCTGGAGCGCGTAGCGCTGTATCTCCGCCTCTGCCCGGCGCGCACCTCCAACAGCCAACACCGAGCAGATCAGCCAGCACGTTCTTCGATGGACCAACGACGCCGGTATGGTGCCCGGTAAGCTCAAGATGCTGCTCTGGGCGCGCCGCGATCGCTTCAACTGCGGTGGCCGCGCCTTCCGAAGGGTGGACGCTAGACAGATGATGACGACACGCACGAGCGACACACAGACACACACAGGCTCACAAGACATCCGAAGGCTAAGCTCAAAATAGTGAGTGAGTGAGTGAGTATTCTAGATACGAAACCACGACGACACACACCAGTCGACTCGCATCGGTTGCCTCCATGAACGGCGGAGCTATTCTCGCGTCCACACCACACACACCTGGCTCCAACGTGGATGGACACGCCCATAGCTGGGGACACTACTAGGTCACGCATGGCATCAGAAGTTTTATCTCTGGGCCCCGAAAGGCATCTTTAGCAGCGTCGTGACGCACACAAACACACACACACACGCTCAAAAAATGCTTCTCTTTGCCGAAATTTCTCGCCGTGCTTGGTTCGCTGTGTGTCTCGCGGGCTGGCGTGACGCCAGAACTTCACCGACATGACAGCAATCGGCCGTCGGTACAACGCCTCCTTCCAGCAGACGATGCTGCGCATCAAGGACCCAAAGGTCTCGGTCCCATTCTACGAGCGCCACTTTGGGATGAAGCTCGTGCACCGGTACGACTTTCCTCAGGCGCCACAGCCCACTGAGCTCCCTGCGCCACTCACACGCCCACTCTCTCCATGCCCCCTCCCCGCAGTGGAAGTTTTCGCTCTATTTTCTCGAGCGGCCGCGCGACGCCGCCGCCGCAGCGCTGCCCTCGCCGGGCACGAAGGCGTCTGCGCCGGATCCAGGCTGACCGAAATCGAGAACCTTTGCTGAGCCTTCTCGGGACCTTGGCGCAGGCGTCCGAGGCGTATCTCTGGTCGATGACGGGCACCACGCTCGAGCTGACGCAGCGCAGCGCAGCGCAGCGCATTTGAGATGAGCTGAGCCTTCCCTCACCCTTCTCGTCTGGCCCTCAGGCACAACCACGGCTCAGAGGAAGACGACTCCTTCTCGGTGTGGAGCGGCAACCGCCTGCTGCTGCCTAATGTACCCGAGCCCCGCACCTTCTCGCACCTTCTCGCACCCTCCCCTGTAGGCAACTGCGGCAGCGACCTGCCGGCCGAGTCTCCGCTCTTTCGCGCGGGCGTGGTGAGAGGCTTCGGGCGAGCCGCATAGACACGGAGACAGAGGCGAGACACACAGAGCGAGACACACTCAGCAGACCGGGACCCGCGCCCGAGAGAGCTGCGGGAGCCATGTCTGAGCCGCGTCTGAGCCCCGCAGGCACATCGCCTTCAACGTGGAGGATGTGTACGCGATGAGCGCGGCGCTCGAAGCGGTTTGGGCAGCCCCTCGCGGGAGGGGGTGGGTGTGGAGGGCGTGTCGCCTCACAGCTCCGGCTTGCGGGCAGGCGGGCGTCGCCTTCCAGAAGCGGCCCGACGAGGGGAGGATGAAGGGGCTCGCCTTCTGCCTCGACCCGGACGGGCGCTGGGTCGGGTCACGTCCGGGGCATGTCCGGGACACGTCCGGGACACGTCCGCGCCATGTCCCATAGGTACTGGATCGAGCTCGTCAAGCGGGAGGAGGGATCGCAGCCGCGGGCCTGGCCGGCCGCTAGTCGCGCCGCGTCTCTTCACGACGCGGAGCCGTGAACAGGCCTTGTCCCGGAGCCGCGGGCCCTTCTCTGGCCCTTGTCTTGACCCTTCTCTGGCCCTTCTCTTGACCCTTCTCTGGCCCTTGTCTTGACCCTTCTCTGGCCCTTCTCTTGACCCTTCTCTGGCCCTTGTCTTGACCCTTCTCTGGTCTCTTCTCTTGACCCTTCTCTGGCCCTTCTCTTGACCCTTCTCTGGCCCTTGTCTTGACCCTTCTCTGGCCCTTCTCTGACCCCGCCAGGCCTCTTCCCGGAGCCGCAGAACCTCTCTCAGACGATGATGCGAGTCAAGGACGCCGACCGCACGATCCACTTCTACCGCGACATCCTCGGGATGGACTTGGTGCGGGGGGGGGGCACCGACGCGCCGCGCCTCTCGAGGCTTGCTTTCACAGCGCGAGCCGCGCCACCAGGTGCGGGCGATGCACATCCCTGGCGACTTTACAAACTACTTTTTCGCCAACTTGACGCCGGCGCAGAGGGAGGCGATGGCGGACCCGGAGTCGGCGGAGGCGCGAGCGGCGGTCAAGACGCTGTGGCAGCCGGTGCGCCGACCCAGACAGCGCCAGACAGCGCCAGACAGCGCCAGACAGCGCCAGACGAGCCCCAAGCAGAGGTGCTAAAGCAGATGTGCCACTCCCCCTGCGCGCAGGTGCTCGAGCTAACGCACAACCACGGCACCGAGAAGGACGACGCCTTCCACGTGCACACCGGCAACTCGGAGCCGCTCGGCTTTGGCCACATCGGCTTCCTGAAGCCGGCGGGACGCGGCGAGGGACTGCTCATCGCCGGTGAGCGTCGTGCCTCCTTCTCCAGGCTTCCTCGTCGACGACCTCGAGGCGACGTGCAAGGAGATGGAGCAGGCGTCAAGCCCCTCCCGGCCCCCTCCCTCCCACGGCAGTCACGACAGCGACGAGGCGGAGGCGGCATGGCAGTCACGACAGCGAGAGGAGTGATGGTCGCGTCTGAGAGGGAGGGGGCGGACGGGCTGCTGCTGCCCCCTCTCGCGAGAGCCGAGCTCGAGCCGATCGCGAGGCGAGGGGCCGCGAGCTGCTCTCAGCCGCTGCTCCTCGCGTGCGCAGGCGGGCGTCCCCTTCCACAAGAGGCCGCAGGACGGCGGCATGAGCAGCCTCGCATTCGCCCTCGACCCGAGCGGCGCGCTGCTCTGCGGGGCTGTGCCGGCCCGCCCCGTGAACAGCATCGCCCTCACGCGGCGAGCTGCGAACAGGCTACCGGGTCGAGCTCGTGCAGCGCGGCGCCTCGTTCGCAGGCGTGTGCTCCAACTTTTGAGGAGCGGGGCCCGGCGTGTGCAGCACGCCAGAGGCACGCCGTTTCGCGTTTGTTTGGGTCTCTCCCCTTCCCACGGCCCGGCGCCCGCCGCGCACGGGGTGTCAGACCGACGGCCGACGCCGCGACGCCGGGGCCGCGTGTTCATTGTTCTCTTTTTCATAATTGGCCCAGATCACGACACTGCGCCGCGCAGGCGCCGTTTGTCCAGCGCAAGCCCAATACATGCACGCTCTGTCCAAGCGCAAGCGCAAACGCAAACATGCACACATTGAGAGGCGCCGAGGCAAGCAAGAAGAGACTCCGCCTCGTCACCTGCATCGAACGCCGTACGCGGCGCCCCGTTGCCACCGCACCCAAGCCCTAACCCAGCAGCGGCGGCGGCGGCAGCAGCAGCAGCAGCTGCAGGAGGGCCCTCCCCTCCCGTGGCCCGCGCCCTCGCTCTAGAAACGGTTCCAAAACTTGCGCGGCCGCTCCGTGGTCGCGGGCGGCACCGATGCGGCGGCGGCGGCGGCGGACACGGGCATCGGCATGGAGGGCGCGGCGGCGGCGGCGGCGGGCGCGTCTGCGGGCACGTCGAACGAGGTTGCGACGACTGTGACGGCGATCTCGTCGCCGTACGACTCGTCGACGGAGGTGCCTAATTAACACAAATTCGCATGATAATGAATGATCTCGTCGCCGCACGACTCGTCCCGTCGGTCGACGGAGGTGCCGAAGATGATGTTTGCGTCCGGCGCGACGATGGACGAGATGACCGACGCGACGTCGTTGACCTCCTGCAGCGACATGTCGCTGTTGCCGGTGATGGTGAAGACAACGCCGCGCGCCTTCTCGATCGGGAAGTCGAGCAGCGGAGAGGAGACGGCGGCGAGGGCGGCGTCGCGGCCGCGCGTCTTTCCGAAGCCGCGCCCGATGCCCATGAGCGCCGGCCCCGCGTTCTGCATGGGTTAGGGTTAGGGTTAGGGTTAGGGTTAGGGTTAGGGTTAGGGTTAGGCCCCACGTTCTGCACGGAGATGGCATGGACGTGTCGCGGAGATGGCATGGACGTGTCGCGGAGATGGCATGGACGTGTCGCGGAGATGGCATGGACGTGTCGCGGAGATGGCATGGACGTGTCGCGGAGATGGCATGGACGTGTCGCGGAGATGTCCGCGGGCGTGTGCGGCGCTCCTGCATGACGGAGCGGACGTCTGCGAAGTCGACGTTGATCAGGCCGGGCTTGACGACGATGTCGGAGATGCCCGTGATGCCTTGGCGCAGGATCTCGTCGGCTAGCGAGAAGGCCTCCTGCAGCGGGACTCCCTCGGGCACGATCTCGAGGAGCTTGTCGTTCGAGACGACGATGAGGATGTCGACGTGCTCCTGGGGAGGGGGCGGGGCCGCGAGGTTAGGGGTAGGGGTAAGGGCAGGGTTAGCTCCTGGGGAGGGACGGAGGTGCAGACGGACACCCGGGAGGTGTGTGTAGAGGTGTGTGCGAGGTGCCTGTGCCTGTGGGTGGGTGTGTGTTGCGAGGTGCCTTGGAGGTGTGGCGAGGTGTGGCAGGGTGTGGCAGGGGTGTGGCAGGGGTGTGGCGAGGCTGTCACGACGGCGCTGCCTGCAGCGTATCTAGGAAGGACTGGAAAGGTCATGGAAAGGGCTAGGCGCTGCCGCCTGCAGCGAGTCGATCGCCTCGACCGCCTGGCTCATGCGCCGCCGCCCCTCGAACAGGAAGGGCTTGGTCACGATGCCGACCGTCAGACAGCCGCACTGCTTCGCCAGCTCCGCGATCACCGGCGCGGCGCCAGAGCCCGTCCCCCCCCCCATCCCCGCCGTCACAAACACCTGCGCACAGCACGACACGGCAACCTCACGGCCTGCCGCCTCCCGCCCCGCCCCTGGCCCGCCCCCGCCGCTCGCCGCCAGCCGCGCGCCGCGTCTCCAGAGGGCTGCTAGGGTCCGGCTAGAGCCCAAGGGGTCTGGTCGCGCGCCATGTCTGTGCCCGAGACGATGGCCTCGATGTCGGCGGCGGCGTCGATGGCGGAGGCGCGCCCGACTGCGGGGATGCCGCCCGCGCCGAGCCCGCGCGCCTGCGGCCGCGCCGAGGACGGGTGCCGGGAGGGGAAGGGCGCCAGTGGGAAGGGCGCCAGTGGGAAGGGGCGAGGGGAAGGAGTGGGAAGGGTGCCGGTGGCGAGGGTGCCAGGGTGAGGATGGCGTCGGGTAGGGCCGTCCGCCCCTCCGCCCCCCCCTCCCCCCTCTCATCGGCCTGATCTCCTCCTCCCTCCTCTCCCCCTCCCTCCCTCTCTCGCCTCTCCTCTCCCTCCTTCCGGACCCCTCGCCCCTCGCCCTGCCCTCTCCCTGCCCTCTCCCAGCCTACTCTGCGCCTGGTTCCGGCCGAGCTGGATCGTCCGGTCGGCGAGCGAGGCGGAGAGCGCCTGGAGGGGCGGCGGCGCACACGTGTCGAGGGGGTGGCGGGGGCGGGTCGGCCGCGCGAGGACGGCCCTCGCACCTGTATGTCCGTGTTGCACGCGACGTACTCGAGAAAGGTCGACCGCTCGACGCCGGGCCCCTCCTGCACCATGCGGTTGATGGTGTTGCCGCCGCCGCCGCCGACGCCGACCACCTTGATGCTGCACGGCGACAGCCCCGGCGCCGCCGCCGCGGGCGCCGGCTTGCTGCTCGGCGCGGCGCCGCCGGTGCCGGTGGGAATGGGCGCCGACCGGTCGAGCTGCGGCTCCTCCTCGGCGTCGGCGTCCATACGGAGCGAGGCGGGGCGGAGGGCGGCCGCGCGCAGCGGCGGCGGCACCGCAGGCCGGCCGCCCACGTGCAGCGCCGACGCGGCGCCGAGGAGCAGTAGGGTTACAGCAGAGAGCGCGGCAGGTTTCATCGCCAGCGCGAGAGACTACTGGCGCGAGTCGAAAAGAATTCACGGGCCGCACGCTTCACGATTCGGAGCGCTCGCCGAAGAGGAGTACGACAAAATAGCGCCCGTGATTGCCTGGTGCACGCTGCCCGCACTCACGGACATACCCGAAAGAAAGAGAGGGGAGCTCGCGGGAGAGGTGACGAGTGAACTACAGGTGGTGGGGAACACGCTTCACGATTCGGAGCGCTCGCCGAAGAGGAGTACGACAAAATAGCGCCCGTGATTGCCTGGTGCACGCTGCCCGCACTCACGGACATACCCGAAAGAAAGAGAGGGGAGCTCGCGGGAGAGGTGACGAGTGAACTACAGGTGGTGGGGGGAAGGCAGCCTCGATTGCCAACTGTGTTACAGACAGGGGCTGGGACCCACCCATGAGAGCGCCGGCGCCATTGTACTTGTTCATCATTCTCAACCCATTTTGCCTCAGGAGGCAGTCGAACCCCGGTCCCAACGAGATTCGAACTGGCAGCCACTCCAGTCTGCATGTGAGCGCTAAAAAAATGTTGGTTTTCAAAAATCTCTCCGCGTTGGTGTCCAGTCCGAGCCTGGCTGTTCTGTGTATCGCGCGCCTTGCGGGGGGGGCGCGGAAAAGAGGAACCTCTTAGCGCCATCGCCATGGTGCTGCAACCTGCAAGCTGTTGGAGAGAGAGATTTCTCTCTCTCTCTCTCTCAAGCTGTTCTTCACCTTTCTACCTACCTACCTCTCTCTCTCACATCTTCTCTCAACCCGCCGGGACGCAAAACGCTCTCGACGAGAGCCACAAGAAGGCGTCCGCACAGCAAGGATAACGGCGAGTGATTAAAAGGGAAAAAAGAAATCATGCGCGTCATCAAGACCGCAGAGCTCGCAGCTCGCGCCAAATCATCAAGCGCCGACCCGTCGTTCGAAAAAACGACATCGAGAGCAGCGCTCTCTCGCAGCGCTCTCTCGATGCTCACCCTCCTCTCCACCGGCTCGCTTGCGCTCCGCCCCGCTCCCCATTCAGGCCTCGGGCTAGGAGCCCACGCAGTACCTGTGCAGCCGCAGGCGTCTCAAACATCGCCGGAAGCGGTGCACAGGCACGCAGGCCCTGACGCGGTCCAGTTGGCGCATAGGCGAGAGCCAGCTCGCTGGCCATGTCCTCTGCGGGCGAGTGGGAGTCGGTCCTCCGCCAGGGCATCCGAGCTCAGCAGTCCAGCGTTGCGTTTGGCAAGGCTGGCGCGCTTTTGGGCGGAAGCGAGGGTGCGTGGGTCCTCCTCTTCAACGCGGCGCAGAAGGACGAGGGCGTGTACACGCTCCAGGGGAACAAGCCGGACGTCGGCCGGCGCACCTATCTCGTCGGCTTCAGCGAGAAGGACGACGCGGAGAGCTTCGTGTCGCTCCTCGAGGCAGAGACCTTTGACCCCGCGAGCGTGTCTCGCTGGAGCTCGCTGCAGCTGCAGGCCTTTTGCGAGACGGCCAACTTTGACCTCGCCCTTGTCCCCTGTGGCGGGCTCCTCCTCCCGCCCTCGCAGAACGTCTACGACCGGCAGGCGAGCGAGCGGTCTAGCTGATGCATGCGGTGCGAGCGATGAGACTGACCGCAGCAACGCAGCGGCCCCGCAGGCGTTCGCCGACGAGGAGCGGAAGCGGGAGCTTCGCGCGCGGCTAACGGCGGTGGGCGGTGCGGCGGGGGAGGCGGACGGGCAGGAGGCGGGGGACGACGAGGCGACGCGGGACGCGGCCGAGGAGGCGGGCGTGACGGAGCTGCGGCGGCGGCTCGAGTCGCTCTGGGGCGGGGAGGGCGAGCCAGAGCAGCCGTGAGAGGAAGCCACCCGGCCGCCGCCAGCATTGAGAGGGGGTGGGGGGGGGGGGGGGGCCCGGGGGAGGGTGGGGGGGGTAAACTTTATAGAGGGGGACCTGCACTTCTTTTTCTTAGGAGAGGCCACCCCCCCTTTTTTGTCAAGACCCCCCCCCATTTAAAAAAGAAAGAGCCCCTTCCCCCCAACCACCCCGGGAAAAGCACGCACCCTCGCGGAAGAAACTTCTTTTGGGGGGTTTTGTACGCGAAAAAAAGGTGGTCCCCCCTCCCCCC